CTGGGATGCCAGCCGACTTTTTGAGGACCTTCTGGTTGATTACAATAAACTTGTTCGACCAGTGAGGAACAAAACCGATGCTTTGGTTGTGCATTTCAAGCTTAAACTATCCCAGCTTCTTGATGTGGTTCGTTTTTCAGCTATTTTTTAATTGCCGCTCAATTCCAGCTTTATTTTCATAATGGAAATTCGTTCTAAATTTCAATCGAATTCAGTACAGTTCTTGTTTTCAAATATTATTTTCAAATTTTGGAAATTTTCTTTCACTTCACTTCAGTAATTAATTGACATGTGTTTCCTTTGTCAGTTCCGAATGCCGGTTATTAAATTGCAAAAAAAAAGTCACAGTTCCTTTTATGTATTTTAACATTCCAAAATTCATTTCCGCACGCTGATGAGATTTTTTTGTGTAATGGCTGCTGTCCCCACCATAAATGAGTATCTTAGAGTTGATTAGAATACCCACTTACTTTACTACTTAATTTTTCTTGCTGATTTATGAAAATTATCGTTTTTTAGCACGAGAAGAATCAAATAATGACAACGAATGTCTGGCTACAGCACGTACGTCATGTTTTGTTCACTGAGAACTAGCATACTGGTACTGCAAGGATAAAAATTTCTACCTGAAAAGCAGAAAAATTATTAAAACAGTTGTGCCAGTTTCATTTATTACGCAAATAAACATAGTTTTAATGATAGAGTAACAGCCGATCATAGCAAACATCGAAAAATGCGGATGAAAAAGCAGAGATCGAATTTTTGCGTCGACCTATCTAAAAATATTTCTCAAATCCAAAATGTAAAAATGCTCATGTCCTGGAAGTACGATCCCGTCTTCATGGTTTACGTACGGGCCTGAGGCAGATCAAGTTCAAAGAAATTTCAGGTAAAAATCCAAAAGAATTGCAACTCTTTTTTTTGCAGGAAAATTGCAAAAACTACAAAAATACATATTAGGTTTGCTGTAAAATTATCATTTAACCTATCTAGGCCAAGTTGTTAACGGTGCTACAACTTCCAGACGGCTGCACAGTTATATATATGATGGGCAGGAGGATATACTTATGATTTCTGCTCCTACCCTTGCGCTTTGCCTTCCTGTGTTTACAGCTAAGAGACGAAAGACAAAAATGCTCGCGTCGCTAAATATGACATTTCGGTTGATTCTTTGTCTTTACTCCTAATACTGCAGTGAGATTAATTTTACTCTGAAGCAAACAGTTCAGGGCAAAATAACTCGGCATAGACGAAGAAAATATTTCAACAGCATTAAAAACATTTGGGCAACATTAAGAGCATTAAACGATGTTCTAACACTGGAGATGCTTCTGCAGATCTATTGAAATCAATCTCAAAACAATAAGTTTCTGGAAATGCTAGTTCCAGACATGGACAGATACCAAGCTGCAGTGGAATCCGGACGAATATGGAGGCATCAGTGTGCTGTATGTCCCCTCCGATATGATCTGGATACCGGATATTGTTCTCTACAATAAGTGATAAATTTTGAACAATTTGTTTCCAATTTCCTAAAAATTTTGTTACAGTTTGCTGGCAACACTGGCGCTGATAGCATTTTTCTGCACCAATTTATTGAGAATACGTTGGAAAATTGGGAGGATTAGATCAGTCCTTTAACTTTCTTGGACGCTCATTCTAGGGCTCACAAACAGTATTCTTACTGTAGCTTACTTGCAAGGGTTATGTTTGCAGTGCTGATGGCAACTATCAGGTGTCAGTTATGACAAAAGCCAAACTATCGCCGAACGGTACTGTCGAATGGGCTCCACCAGCAATTTATAAAAGGTCAGAAAAGTTTCACGCTAAGCTTCCTGGATTATGGCACATTAATTTGAAAAAATCAAACTAAATATTTCGACTTAAAATGTCTTTTGATCAGAATTACACCAAGCATAAACACTCCTAAAATTTCGTTATAAACAAGATTTTTAATTTTGTACGTTTATTTTATAAATTAGGCAAAACACCTTTTCAAAAACCCACACTTTGCACTTGGACCATCCAAAATTAATAAAAATTTGTTCTACAGTATGTGCCAGATCGATGTGGAATGGTTTCCGTTTGATGAGCAGACTTGCGAAATGAAATTCGGTATGTTTTATTAACTCGAGGGTGGTGGGCAGATAGAATTTAAAGGATCCTCAAATAATTAATAAAAGTTTACAAATATTCGAAAATGCAATATTTCGAAAGTAAACTTTCGAAACAAAGGCATTTAATCTATGGTTTTGAGTTGGATTTTTACGAAATGCTAAAATTTGGATCAAAAAAATCCTAACACAAATACACTTTTAAAAGTCTTTTTGTCGCTTGCTTTGTCTCAGCAGTTTATTCCCTAGGTTCTTGGACATATGGTGGCCTAGAGGTTGACCTTCAGCACAAAGATTCGTTTAATGAAAGAATGGAAACCGAAATGACACTGGATGGTAATGGAAAACACGTTGAAACAGTATGGATCGTTGATCAAGGCTTGTTTTAAATTTTAAATTAAACAATTGTTATTTTCATCGTTTTATTATTATTATTAATATTATTATTATTATTATTATTATTATTATTATTATTATTATTATTATTATTATTATTATTAT